TTTTATTATACAACCTGCTTCAGCTCCTGTAAATTTATATGTGCTTAGATTATCTCTACAGAAACCCATACTGCAAAGTTGTCAATATTAGAGGAGCTTGGCAGTACAGATTTACTGCCCTCCTTGCTATTAGGAAAGACAGCCTGATTTAGTTCTGCCTGTAAAGGCTCGTCATGGGGTGAAAAAAGAAGACAAAATAAATCACTCTTAAAATTAGATAGTTCACTGAGGTTTTCCACTAGTTTCCTCTCCTAGAAAACATATTATCCTCATATCTTATCAGGCTCCCTTGCCTCCAAGTTATCTTTATGGAGTAGGGAGACTAATGGATTCTGTTGCTTGTGTTGCAGTCCCTGCTCAACAGTTACCCCTGCAAGCACCCCGCAAAGAGCAAGCTGCATAGCTTTGATGAGCAGACTCCAAAATATTCCTACAGAAGAAAGCTTCACCCCCTCCATTGTTTTGATACAAAACTTCAGGCTGAGCTGAGAGACTCAGATCCAGCAGGAGTTTGATAAAGCTGAACATGCGTGACACAGCGATATAATCTTCTGTCACAGCCTGATGCTCCGAGCGTTAGTCACCCGTAATAAAGCACTGAGAAATGAAGGAAGGCAGGCAAATAAAACTATACTGATGTACTGAACACAAGGGCTGGGAACACAAGATGGGAAAGAATTGCTCCTGTTGCAATGACAATACTTTTAATTATATATAGTCAATGAAAAATAAACTATTAGAGAGAGAATAAAATACTTCCAATTAATGGAAGTAATGCAATGTTCAAACTTAAATGAAGTATTTTTCTCTTGAGGGTTTTGCTGTACTATTTTATTTAGCTTAATGTAATTTAAATTATAAACAGAATGGTTTTGTAAGCCCCCAGAGAAATGTACTTTATTTATAATGTATTTCCTTTGAAGTGGTTATGGAAATCATGCTCTTCCTGAAGTCTGTATTTCACATACCACCTACAGCTGCAAGCTAGTCAGTCCTCACAAGTTAAATATGTCTGGTGAAGTGCATTACAAAAAAACCTGAGTTTATTTTAAATGCCAGAAGGAATAAAAATTTGTAATTCTGCAAACTAATAGTCTTTCTTTCAAAAAGTTATTGAAAAATCTTTGTTGATAAAAGTTATGTGTTTTCAGAGGAAATGGAACTCAGCCATTGTCACTTAACTTGAGTTTTAATCCACATAATGAAAGAATAATTGTTTATACTATGCCCTAGAGAGAGTTTCAGCTGGGAAAAATTGTGTTTTGTATACTTAAATTTAAACACATAAATATTTCCATCTTTCATTTAAATTAAAAAATCCTTTAAAATTTAATTTTAGGATTAAGAGAAGACTTTCTTCTAGGAGGAAAATTACAAATGCCTAGTTTGTGTCACCATTTTCCTCAAAGTAATTACAGTTATCTATTTACACATAAATAAGCAGCTACAAATGAATAAATGGAACCCCAATCTACGTGCTCTCCTCACCATCAACACGTACTTCATCGAGTTGGTTAAATAATTAGAGACAAAGAGGAAATTGTTTCTAGAAAATTCATTTTGGCCATTAACCATGGATGGTAATGGTTCATCCATTACCCTCATGGATGAACCATTAGCTTAACACACCAGCAGAGACATACAACAGTCTAAGCTGTGATGATTCTCCTGAAATAATGTCACACCAAGTCACTTCAAAGGGAACAGACAATTAAACACTGTAAGATTTGGCTGACTGCAACTGCTTACAGCATCATCTCATGACAGCCACAGTCACAGACTGCATGTGCTTTGAAATGATCCTTCCTTCATTCCTTTTGTCAAACCTACTCCTCTGCTCTAACCTACTACCAAAGTAGATAAATAAAGAAGTAGAAAAATAAATTAAAATTCAAGTTTTCATTAGCTGTGGATTAAGAGTTTGAATAATTTTTCAAGGGGTAATACATAGGAGCAAATATTTCTTTGTAACTACTCTATAAAACAAACATCAGTGGTCTGGTGTTAATTTCAGATTGAGTTGGTAGTTTTTACCACTATCATAAACTTTCAGGTAGATATTTAAATCCATTAAAATATTTACAAGCAAATTTATGAACAAATATGAATTAATTTTTACTGTTGTGGTAATGAGCGACATAGGGACCCCAGGCAGGTGCAAAGCAGTGCTCTTTATCACCAAAAATCAGTCTTTTTAAGCAACTAGCTGGTTATCAGTTTGCATTGTTTTAAGGCACAACAAGCCCAAGCCTACCAGCCATCACACAGCACGTCTGTGACTCAGAGAGGAGCAGGGGCAGAGAAACCTGACTCTCCCACAGCTCCCTTCTACTTTGCCAAAGCAACAGGCCAGAGCCATGTTACCATGCCTTCCCTTTATAAAGCCTTACCTACCAGTAACATTTTACAAATTGGGTTTTTAAAAATACTCTTTCTCCATATACTACTGCAGAAACCTTTTAAGATAACATTACCTCTGGCCCTTCTTAGATCTGACATTATCCAGTTCTCTCTTGAAAGTGACACCAATTGTGTTAGACATTGCACTTGGTTTTAAAGATCCAAGATGTACCACAACCTTTGCAAACATCTATGCTTTCCTAAAAGCTACTCAAGCACAAATACTACTTGCATTACATGGCAAATGCACATCATAGTGACCATTATCTTTGCATTTGAGGCAAGATTTTAAGATTCTGGCAGCCTAGCTAATGTACCTGTGCTAAGCTAGATAATGCTGTTCATCTTGATGAATGTAACATGTTCAGAACAACTGACAAATTCTGTTTAGTGCTCTGCACACTTGTGGATAATAAAGAACATTATTTTATTATTTCTTTATAGATATAATCTTTTAAGAGGTAGCATGACAGCACAGTGTAGATATAAAGCAAACCATCAGATTTATTTGCATTAATGGCTTTGTTGCCATTAATTTATTATGAAGAGAAAAAACAACCAACAGATATCAACCCCTGGATTTTCTGAAAATGGATTATAACCATTAACCCACTTTAACCCTTTTTTTTCTCACTGTTTCCACACAGTCACATCAGAGTCTAAGTTACAAATATTACACGTCTATACAGGAAGAGAGATGTGGACAGTAACAAAATGTACAGAAGTTAACTGAATTCTTAAATGAATTCTTTATTACTTTCCTTTCAGACTGAAACTGAACACAGTTCCAGTTTCTTTCAAGTATCCTTAAATTTCGCATCAATTATAAATTCTTTTTCAATGGAACAGTTGTGCCACTGACACCCACAAAACAAACATTCTCCCATTCTCCTCAGACTCTATATCCTCTCCAGCATAATAAATGTCTTTTGGGATTGCTTCCCTACCCATCAGTTACAACTGGGAAAAACTTTGGATACTCAAAACAGAAAAAATTAATCTCTTTTCCATCTTGGAGATAGCAAGCCATTTACGAATTATGATAACTTATATTTAATTTTAACCACAAAATCAGAAACGTATGTTTTCAGTATTAATTAACAGAAATACTGCCATCCTAGGAAAATAAAAGAAAATAAAGTAAGAATCCCAAACCACAACCTTTCGCTTTCTACAAAATACCTGAAAAACATCTAATTAAAGCTGGAATATGGTCAACACAACATGAAAAGCAGCTGTGTATGTAACAGCATGCAATATACCTTGTCATAATTTCAGCATAAAAAACCAAGGATAAACATTATTATAGGATTCATCTGAGGCACATGTTGTTAAAACTGAAGCTATAAAAAATTCAGCCAACACACCCTAAAAATGCTTTATTGAGACGACTTACTTAGAACCCCTCTCCAGACAGAACTGAGTGACTGAAATCTCAAGACACTGCAGAAACAATCACAATAAACTTTCAGTGTCACAGTTCCAAAAGAGAATGTGAGGAGAGCTGTTTGTTATGTGCAGAGACTGTGTCAGCATGTGTAAATACAGGCCATCTAAACAACTGCTACACACCCAAGCTTATAGTTAATTTCCATAAAATTAGAAATGTAAACCAAGGTAGAGCTTTTACACTGTAAGGAATGTAAAAGAAACACCAATTATAATGTAGGCATAAACTCTGCATCTTACCAATTCATGTGAATTATTTTAAGTGCCACTGCAACTGAGACATAAAACAGCATAGCATACAAGGGAGAAAGCAGTCAAGAGACAATAAATGCTGGCAATTTAATCAGAACAATTTAGTCCTTTGCCTAGGTCTGCTAGCTCAGAGGGAGGTGAAACTAAATGCAGCTAGCATATCAAAGCAAAAAGGAAAAATACACTTTTCAAGAAATTTAATATAAATTGTTGGATTCACAGCTCTTCTAGAGCAAAACTGAATTATTTTGCAGGAAATCCTGTTGATAGAGTATTGGCTATGTTTTATATTTTGTCTGAAACTCATAGAAAACTTGAAGATTTGTGCAGAACCTCAAGATGATCAGCAGAAATAACCTGAAGGGATCTTTCTTCTTATTATTAATACCATGATACCCATCTTAAGACAAACATTGAGGTTCATGCATGTAAATCTGTTCAGCCATGCTCTTACCTGGCCAGCTCTTATTCTGTGAGCTGTGTGGCTGTAATAACAAGAAGCTCAAGGTTTACTAGCTGCTTCAGAACTCATTCAGTTTCTCTGCTGGGTTTTGTGCCTAAGCTGAAATTTTCACCACTGCAGCTGCTACTGAAGTTAGCTCAGGTATGCCTACAGGAATGATGGCCATCACCTGTGGTCAGCACCTGCAAGTACTTAAAACAGACATGGCAAGAAGACTAAATACATTGTGGCATATGACAATCTGCTTTTGTGCTTCTGTTGACAATAAAACTCATCAAAAAGTTGCAGGGTCTTAATGATATTGCAGTCCATAAATTCCAAAAGACCCCAATTCCACAAAGTGAGCATTGTTGCCAAAACCCAGATGTTTCCCAATATGTTTAATACTTTTACAGATGTAGTGTGGATATAAATAGGTTTTTTAAATTTTACCTACATGGTCCAGTGAGGATCATCAGAGCAGCTAGTTGGATCAGACACTGTAATTCTGTGAACTCCTCTTTTGGAAACAGAACTGGTACTGTGTCAGCATGTAGGCTATGAACAAAGTGAAAGATAGAAAAATTATTAATATAGATTATAGAAACATGAGGAAAGCACAGACATATAAGCCAAAAAAGCTTCGTTTGAAGGAAGATAAAACAAAAGTTTTTAATACTTTTTATTGCCAAATAATACTGGTTTTTCCTTTTTATTTTTTTTTTTTCCATCTGAGAGACCTAGTTGGAAATAAAACAACTCAAGCATGCATTTTTCACACAGAGATCTGGAGCAGTGGTAATAATATGGTACTGACAAGCCTTTGGGCTGCTCACACCTGTCTCCAAAGGGCTATGTATGATCACAGTATTTTCAGATGATTTTTTTTTTCTTCAAACCTGGGGACCAAACTGGAGTGAAGAGAACACTTTCTCCAATATCGTACAAGAAGTCATAGAATCATAGAATAAAGGTTGGGCCTTTCCTGGCAAAAGCACAATCTTGACAAGGTAACTCAGCAAACTGTCCAGCTGAATCTTGAAAGTGATCAATGATGGGAGATCCAATACTTTCCTGGGGAGCTTATTATTTTAAGGCTGCAGCTGCATCAGCAAGCAAACTTGTGTAGCTTGTATCTGAAAATGGGCACCTCTAGCAAAGAGGAATGATGAGCCCACTCAAGGAGCAGCTTGCCCCAAAGGCAGAATTAAGAACTAGGGTTTCCTTTTCTTCCCCAAGTGGTGCAGTCTTTTAAGCTAACCACTTTAAAAAGTTGGTCTGGAATATAATTTGTCATGAAAAAAATATAACAAAGGAAGAAAATATATTAAACAATATATATTAAACAAAACACTTTCCTCTGCAGAAGTTGTAAAGCTCTGAATTCCAAAGTGTAGGAGAAAGATTAATGACTGACCACCGTGCTCCATTTCATTACATTTAATGTAATGTAGTAGAACCAGTAGCCAAGTAGAACCATGTGCCATTGTTATCCCATTTATTGCATGCCTTTGCAGCTTAAGGCTTCCAGACCCCTTTGAATAACTTAAACACAGAAGAGTGAATCTAATCAAGATGTTTCTTAGTGTCTCAGCCTTTACCAGAATGCCAAGAGATTTTACTCCCAGGTGTTATAAATAGGAGGCAACAGAGCAGAGAGAGAATATATTCACTATGCTGCATGCTCAGTTTTTCGAGAAAAAAAAAAAACAAAAACACCACCAAAACCCAACAGCAACAGCAGGAGTGAGGTTACTAACAAAGCCGAGACTATAGTCCAGTTAATTTTCAGAAGGAAAGAAAATACACATTTATTACCCATGTACATTGCTGCATGCCAGCCTAACTAAGAGTTGTAACACAGCTCTGATATGCCTTTAACCATGAAGGTCTCCCCCTCCTCTAGTAAAACACACTCCTGGAAGAAAGCTGCTCCCTCCACTAACCCTGTACTGTCAAGAAGTGCAAAGAATCAGAGAGGAAGCCAAACTGAACAACCCCTTAAACCAAATGAACACAGGAGAGGCTGTATTTGAATGAACAGAAAGGAAACAAATCAGATTAAATATGGCCAGAATTTGTATAAATTGACTTAGAGGGAGTGCAAAGCAGTTCTTAGTTGGACACACGATTGTGGCAACCCTTTCCTAAGAACAGGCTTTGAGATGGACCCTCAGCCCAGGATCTATGTTTAGATCAGAGACTATCACTCCAAACTCACTTCCTGAAACATTTCTTTTCCAAGGCATTTCTTGGCCAGCCATTACACCACTATAACACTCTGTTCCCACCACTGCTCCCAGACTGACAGTGCACAGGAAGCACAGCACAAGACAGAGTGTCTGCACTGAGGGTCTCAGAGACTCCCAGAGAGAGGCAAAGAGCAGCCAGGGAGATCACATGCATCATTAACCCCCTCCCATCTGAAAGGGTTTGCACTCTAAAGCTCTGGAAGGATCTCGTGGAGCCTTTGCTGCTAGAGCTTGATCTTTTGGCTCAGGAAGGATGGTTACAGACTTCTCAAGACAGCTGCTCTGATTTTAGTAGTTCATTCCAGCAATGCAGCAGTGAATCTACATACACACTTATAATTCACTCACATAGTAAAACTACAATTTGCACAGCACGTACCAATTTTTGTTTAATTAAGGTCCCTAGAGGTCATTAGTGGACAGCTTACATAGAGTTGGCAATACGAAACAACAATGTCAATTACTCTTAAAACAAACTTGAATGTTTAAAAATTAATTCATCCTTTTTTTTTAAATTCAGAAAGTATAAAGGTCGAAAAAGATTTTTCATTTACATTATCAATGCAGAAAAATAATTTTAAAAACTCTGCTACATGATCAAAATCAGTTTTAAATAACTTGCAAAATTTTAAGACTGAAAAACAATTGAAAAGAGAAGCTGTTTTTTAGTTAGCTGAGCCTCCTTTTAGTTGAGGAAATTAGGTGTCTGGCAATTAAAATATGAATTTTAATAATTTCCCTCTTATCAAGTTATTATGCTTTAGGTTAGCAAAAAACTAGTTTGTTATTAAATTAGCTTTTCAAGCCATCCTCAATTTAAAAAAAGAAAAAAATCTTCCCAATAATTTTCTAATACATTTTAGTTTTATGCCATTACTACCAAGACTCCAGTTTTACCTACCTAATAATGCAGGTTGTGACTCAGAGCTTTGGAATTCATTGCCTTAATTTACAATAAACTAAGTCTCTTCAAATAAACCTGTGCTGTTTTTATATTCAGCTACAAAGCTAATACACTCTACTCTTTCTGAACAGTGACCAAGGCCAGCTGACAATCCAGCACGTGCAGAACATCAAGCTCCAGTTGAACAGCCCTGTCAACAAACCCCCCAAAGCCCCATTCCAGCTGTCAGCATGAACCCTGGACCTATTTAAGCCATCATCAGCCACCTCAAACCTCATTTACTATGTCTGTGCTAGAAACTTTTATTTGAGGGGTGCTTCTGGGCATTGGCATCCAAACTCTGCCATAAAACTGTGAGACTGGTCCTAGCAGGATTTTAGCTTGGGTGTGGTCTGGGAGGCAGCACAGCCAATGAATTTCAGTTATGCTCTGCACACATTGGCACACTATGAAGAGGAGAGGACTAAAATTTGTAGCACCACAAATACAGCTGTGATTTCAATACCCCCCAAAAAAATGCTGCCGTCAGGACAGGCAGGCACTCGGTGTTCCAGGTACAAAACTGAAAATCACATTTTATCACATTTTACTTGTCCAATTCCTTTCCTACATTCATGAGAACCCCTACTTAAAACAAGAAGAGACACGGTGTGCTACCTTTAGCTTTTTATTTATCTTTGATAAAACCTCACTTGAGACTAGAATGTCAGAAATGAATGACTAGAATGTCTAAGTAAGAGAAGTATTTTCGTGGAAAGCAAAACTATGCACACAGTAATTTCTACCCTATTTACTTGACAAGACAAATTTGCATGCATTGACTCTGCACGAAGAAAATTAGTTGCTATGTTTCACCAAGTAGGTTCCTCTCTATGAAAAATAAATTTCACAGACTGGTAAAACTTTATAACATAATAAAGTAAGTATTTCACATGAGTGAGTATCAAGAGAGATAAAGGTGATCTCATGTGTTGTGATCTTTTAAATTAATTATGTTCAATTTTTGCCTTGTTGTGAGGACAAAAAAAGGTCTCAAAAACTTGATTTAGTTACATATTTTTATTTTCTTGCTGAAATAACCTATTAAAATCAACACTTTTTCATATCATATTTTTCAGCCTCAAAAATGCCTACAGAGGTACCTAGATAAATAAAAGGCATTTAAATAGTTGAATGAATATGAATAATAATGAATATGATCCTGATGCCAAAAAAAAAAAAAAATCAGCAAGAAGGCAGTTTCTATTTCCAATGGACTTTAAAGAGCAGAAATCTATTTTGATTCTTAAGCTTCAGGCATAAAACAGTCCGCAAGCTGGAAGCAGCATCTCTGTCTTGTACTTCTTGCAGTGGATCTCATTAGAAAGAAGTTAGGACTGTTCTGGACCAAGACAATACCAAAGATGGATGGTAAAAGATTGCAACTGCAATATTTGTACACTTGAAAAGTGCTTCCCCACTTATATGACAGAAAAATATGCAACACGTAGATCAAAACGGAATTTCTTTGCTGGGACAAATTCAGTATCACAAAAATTCATCCAACTTGCTCTACTTTGTTTTTAGCCATCCTGAATAAATAAATCATTTAATGCTCCTTTTATTCAGTTAAACACAGATAAAAACAAATTATTAACATTCTGATTTAGGACCATGTTCTTGGTGAAGACATGTCAATTCACAGTACTGTCTAAGTCAACTCTCCTTCAGCTTCTGAAGAACTAGAAGCCTTTATTTTAGTTTGAAGTTCTGAGGAGTATGGTAAAACAAAATCCAAATATTTCAGATATTATTTTAGTTTGGTAGTCTCATAGCTCAAAAATTGTTCAATCTAGACATATCACTTTTTTTTTTTTTCACTCTAGAATAGTGCCTTCAGTGTTTTACTGACAAAGCTGAGCGCCTATTATGGAAATATTCAGTTAGGACTGCTCAGCATAAAGGTGTTCAACTCAGTGCAGTTCACATACAAAGCATCTCAGAAGTGCACTACAGTGTCTGAATAATCAGTAGAACAAGCAGCTAGGAAAAAGGAAAGCATCACAAAAAAAACACTAGAAGAATACTTCAATCTAATTTCTCTATTACTTATGTTTTCTATCTGGCATACAACCATGAAAGCTTTTTAAAATATGCAAAGTGATTAACTCTCTTAGATTGTTGTTCCTTCAGGTGCTTACTGACACCTGACTACTAGTGTCTCTGACAAAGATTATTATTTTAAGTGAAATATTCTAAATGTCATATATAATTTTATATAACACTGAGAGATCATAATGGTTAAACAGACCAACACAGGAAGCTCAATATTTAGTATACAGCTATCAGCATTAATAATTTAGGAAGTGGTTCCATATCTTTGCAGCTACAGGCTTCTACCCCTGAGCTGTACAGGCTGCACA